CTGCATTGCCCTCAAGAGATGGATGAACGACATAATTTGTACAAGATCATGGCCCTTGAATATTTGGTATTTTTTGAAGTTAGGCAGTCAAATCCCGAGGTCCTTAGACACCGATTCGAAAGTACCCCCAAAAAACGGTAAATTCTGTAGAAAAGAAGCTAGCTTTTTCAAAAATCGCACCCGATTCCATTGGCTATTAAATGTAAGACTTTGGCAGAACCGAAATTGGTGTAGACCGAAAAGGCTACATAGTCAATGATGTCAACGAAAGAGCATATCATCACTCCATTGTAGCCAATTCTTAGCGACAAAGCACACAGTAGGAGAGACTTTTCAAGTACCTCAAATTGCGTTTGACAAATCCAGTAAGTTGTACAGAATTATCTTAACAGTACATTTGAGTACACCAATCACCGTTTGGCGCACTTGAAGTCAGCGAAAACGTGAATGGCATTGTTAAATAGGGTTGAGTCATTGCCAATTGAACACCTTTAGCTACTTGCACTCAATCAGGTGCGGGTAAGGCACAAATGTCACAACCGGAACAATGTATAGCTCAAACCGTTCTTGTTGGATGCCCACAGTACACATATTTTGATAACTGGGTAATTGGGGACAAACAACGCCACTTTATTTATGGCAGTAAACGAGCAATTGGACTTAATGTTGTGGGCATAGAAATGAGAAAAGCTAAATGGACAGGTTTGCACAAAACACGAGACTACTAAACTGGAAAATCTAGTAGATTGGGTGTGGTCGTTTCGAGCTGATAATAGCACCTTGCTGGCTACACACACAAGCATTCATTAAAGCCTCCATGGACTAGCTGCGCATTCACTCACTTAACCACATTCATCATGATGCGTCTTCAATTAACGTATTCGCTTCGACAGGGTATTTCTTCTGCAGTTCGTTGGACGCACACATGCATGTTATCATGTCCGATCTCTTCCCTTCATTCTGCTCTTAATCTCCCAGTCGAGAGACTTATCTCGCACTCAGCGTCGCACACAAAGGCGAAGAGGAATGAAATGGTAACCAGCAGTTCAAATGACTACGTCATGTTCTGCGCGAGGTTCTTGAATTCAGGATCACCATAATTAACGGAATATCATTGCATGAAGGTAAGATTTTCGGGTAAACGTCAATATATTTTTTCCTCAAAAAATGAACATCCCAATGAGAAGAATTTTACACTGACACGACTACCATAACCTCTCACTGAGGATGCACAAACGCAAGACAAGCATCGAAGGCTACGATTAATTCGTTTCGAGCCCACGGCTACAGTTCATTTACCAACCCACGTTTTATCGTTCAAGATGTCCAAAGCTGTGTAATGAAGCTAGCTTTTAATAATGTATTGCCAAATGTGTGTGTAGCTACCAGCAATCTGCATGTTGAGGAATGCAGATTAAACCCCTTTCCCTCATTCCACCCCACGAAACACGAAGCTGCAAAACTATGTAGTGGGATTTTGCTGCATGCGAGAATGTTTGCTCCCACCTAATTGGATGAAGCAAGAAGCGAGAACGGTGTGAGCTAGTCGGTAAAGGCATGGGTGGGAGAAGTGGCGGACAACTGCAATAATTCTAATAAAGAAATTAATCGTGCATCTGAGAAGTGGACCCACATTCCCCCTTGTCAAGGGCAAATTTAATCATACTAGACCCACTGCGCCTTCAGATAAATACGAGTTGTGAGGTCTACACCACGAATGCTCACCCATTACTGGACACCTAACACACACACCATCAAAACCACAGTAATTGAAATGCTATATCATGTATTGGTGGTAGCTGCACAAGCTACTGGAAGTAGTCTTTATTCAAGTTAGTTGACCAGTAGT